CTTGGTGACAAATTCCCACAAGGTCGGGTTTATTCCCTGCTCTCTTGCCACAGCAGAGGACTCAGTGTCAAAGCCCCTGCAGAAGGGCAGAGGGCAGGGCTCGGGCACGTTGTGCCAGTGCAGGATCTGAACTAAAGGCACCGGGGAGCACCAACCCTGCAGACAAGAACTCAGCTCTTCTCATCTCACCTTCCTGCCAGAGGCAGGCTCAGAGCAGCCGTCTCACACCTCTCTAACCCAATGGGGGCTCTGTCCTTACCAAGCTCCTCGCACTCGTGGGAACTGTTCCTGCAGCTCTTGGTGCCAGATGAAGCTCCCTCTCCTGCAGCCTTGTCCACAGGCTCACCTCCTGAAGAATCAGGGGCAACACTAATATTGTTCTGAAAGGAAAAACAAAGAAAGGAACCGAAACATCACAAACTATTTTGTTGGAATCACATCAGGGATACAATAACTCTCCTTTTCCACTCCCAAAGGACATGGAGCACAGGAGGTGAAATGAATGGGCAAGGAGACCAGCTCCTTTTGAATGACTTTATTGAAGTGACCAGCTCTGGGTGGGGGCCCGAGGGGTCACGCACACCGCCACTGCTCCCTTTGGCGACGCAGAGGAGGAGGTAGTCGGTTTTGCTGTGCAGTAGAACTGGGGCTTCCGTCCTCACGGGTGTGCCTAGGAAGACACTCCTTGGCTCGTTGGTCAGTATCTTTACTCTGAGTTAGTTCTACTTAAGTTATGGTGACGCTTCAAATGTTGTTGGTAGGGCTGGTAGGATAGAGGGACTCCTTGCCGATCGTCAGAGTTGGTTAGTTCAATTTTTAGGTTGGCTCGTTGTCTTGAGGGCGTTTTCTTGGAGATTTTGGCACTGTTCTTAATTTGCATATCTCTGGAAGTGTTCTGGTCGCCATCTTGTGGACCAGCGGAGGCAATACCCGGTGGTCGCAACAGGGAGGACAGGTACAGTAAAGGGACACAACGTGGATGCATATAAGGGAGACATCAGTGGAGTTTTAACAATTAGCAACAGTTTAATTAACACATTTAACTTCAAATGCCTTAATTTAAATACCTAAGCTGTATTAGCTGATGAACTTATTCATAACAGGAGGGAACACTGCCCACACGGTTCACATGACAAGCCTTTTAAACTCAGGATTCAGGTGACCAAGGTGAAACTGAAGCTCTTACAAAATGACCTTTGATGAACGCAGAAAACCAGAAAACACCAAGTAAGGGCACGTGCCCTCATGCTCTGACCCTGGCTTATCCCACAAGCTGTGAGTAATCAGCCAGCAGAAAGCTAGGGGCTCTCCTTGCTGCCAGCAAGGGCAGAGCTCACTCCCAGCCCTGCCCAGGGCTGTGTGCTGCAAACCCACACACAGAGCACACATTTCTGGCTGAGGCTCACCACCCTTGCAACCGCTCAGACAACCAATCACAAGGTGGTTCTTCTTGGAGCCCTCTACTGCTGCCCCACGTGTATGATTCAGGCAAACATTTATGCACCTAGGGCATTTCCAGGATCACATTTCTGGGAGCAAAACTCTGTAAACTTGTGGGGTAGAAAAAAAAAATAACCCAAGAGACAGGAAAAGCCAGAAAACAAAGTAGTGTTTCTATTCCACTGAGGAAATGTACCTGCAAATTACCTTTGTGTTACAAAAAGAAAAACAGGCAAATTGGAGTTCAAAAGGTCTGGGCCTGTTTACTAAAGTACAGACAACAGAAGACGAGGCCCCTAGATAAGCCCAGGACCTCACCAACAAGCCAGAGTAACTGTGTAACACGGTATTTTTCCCAGGGACACAAAGTCCACAGGAAAAAGACCTGGGTGTTCAACACCCAGGGATCTTCATAGTCTCTTGAAGGGGACAGGATTGGTGCGTTCTTGATCCGGTTGAGGACTGGTCCTTCTTTTGGTCACTGATTGGTTCATACGGTGGTGCATTCCTGACCAATCATTCCAGAAGTTTGAGGCACCATTGGCTGGTCGGCTCTCCCAACCACAAGTTGAGTTGGTGACTTCACTCCTGGACACAGCCCTTCCCCTTCCTCTGGATTGACAGCTACACACACATAACTAACAATTCATATAGCTTCATAATTTATTAGATTAATTATAACAATTAATTACAGTACAACAATTCATTACACTAACAATTCATTTAAAACAATTAACTATCATTAATCCCGTCTACTAAAACAAATTCATTTATAACATTTGGACAGAAAAATATTCTCACTATGACCAGTTCCAGAATATTCGTCTCTTCCGCGATAGTCCGTCCATCAGAATCCTAAAGATTCTAAAGATGGTTCCCAGCCTGGAATGTTTCCTTTTATTATGGAATAAAATTCTTTTGAAAAGTGCTATGTGTGAGTTTACAGAAGACAAAAGACACCCCACTGGAGAATAAAATATCGGTAAATCAAAAAAATTCCACTTCCCACCTTGAGTCTGCCCTGCCTCAACCATAAATGTACTGCAGGCAATGGGTCAGTACATCAATAGAAAGAGACACCTTCTTTGGCCAACAGTGTAATAATCTGCAACAAGGCCTGTGCCAACACAGACACTCCAGGCAAGTCTGCAAAGAAGCCAGAGTTAAGAAAACAGGATTCCTAATCCAAGGACTGAATCTGTCAAGCAAAAAGACAGAGAGCTGCAGCTCCAGCCCAGCCCCACCCATGGCTCTGGGAGCGCCTGCAGGCACGGCAGGCCTCTCACAGCAGCAGCAGCTGCAGCCCAGCCCTGCTTTGCCTTGGCCTTCCCACCCAAAAGAGGCAGAGCCCACATCTCCACATCTGCTGCTGGAACAGAGGCACCTCTCGCATGGCCCTCCCTGCACGGGACACTTTGCCTTCAGTGGCAATTCTCCAAACACTCTTCTCTTCTTTCCATCAAACAAAGCCTCTCAGAACCTACGGAGCTTCCACTTCCTCACCACAAATGCCCCTGCAGGAGGGATTCTTCCCAGGAAAACGAGCACCCAAACCTGGCCAACACAAGCTTTCACTTTCATTCTTACTAAGGGAGGGAAACTTTTTAATTTCCTCTTCTTTTAGAAATCTTACTTTTTCAAGAATGATTAAATAACTAAATAATAAAAAATAAATTAAATTCAATTAAAGAAGCCTTTGCTTTTCAACCATGCAGCAACATTCCAATGCTGTCAGTCCCAACCCTTTGATTCCCATCCAGTGGGGTTACCTGAGCAGAGAGAGACCTTTCAGACAGGGATCTCCTGATCTCTGGCATAATTTTTATTTCTTCAAGGCCCAGATCCACTGGTCGTGATTCCTTTCCTCATGTGCATTCTGTTCTGAGCTGGAGGCCATCAATGCCACACAACCAGCACTGCCAGGTGGAGCATTGGTGGCTGAAGTGCCTGGAGTGGCTGCAAGAATCAAAACACATTGGTCAGGCTCCAGAATGTGGGGAAGGAGGTGACAAAATGGCATATGCCTCTACAAGTGCCTAATTATCCATAGACATAGATGGTGTGAAAGAGTGGTCTCTAAAATTAAAACCTTAGTCCAATACATGTCACCATAGACATCTAGAACATCTAGAAGCCAAACTAGAGGGAGAGAGGTTCCTTCTGCCCCATCTTCACAGCCTCTCCCTTGGCCACTTCATCCCATGCAGAGCTGTTCTTCTGCCGCGGTTCAGCACATGGGCTTGGGGGAAGCCAAAGCCTGCAGAATCCCTGCAGAGCTGCCATGGAGCTCTTGGCAAGCCCTGGCTGGCAGCAGCCCTTGCTGGCCCCTGCCAGCTCCTTGGGCTGACTTAGGGTGGTGTGGAGAGGCGGGCAGCAGAGCCTGGGTCATCCCTGCCTTGGCTTCTTGGCCTGCCAGAGCCTTCTGCATTTCACCAGTTGTCTTTGGTGTGTCCTCTTCTGCTTCCTTTCCAACTGGCATTCCCTGTCTTCTGACCAGGCCTTTTTCTGCTGTCTTTACCTTCTCTTTTTCTTTTCATGGGGGTAGCAGCCTTCAAGCCTGCCACCATTAAGTTGGATTAGAGAGGCAAAGCCAGGAGCTATGAGCTAAGTCCTTTCTTGTCCTGGCTAAGTCCCTTCTTGTTGGAACCAATGTGAGTTCCTTTTATCTTGTTGATGCAGAAAGTCTTAGCAGGACTTTGGCCATGACAGGGACTCTGTGGAGCTCTGGTGGGTGTTTGGAGGCAAAGCTGGAGGTGCCTAAAGCAGAAATTCTGGAGGTGAGACATGGCATGAGACAGTCTGGAGGATGAACGAATTGCCAAATCACCACCTTAGCACTGCTGAGAAGATGCAGCTTTTCATCAGCCCCTCTCACACACTACAGCTGCCCCCAAAGGGACTGGAAGGAGCTGGCATGAGCAGGGGTCTGAGCAGAAGGCCTCTGAAGGGGGCAGCTCCCCCACTGCTGCTTTAATTTGCAAGTATTTTGTAAATTCATGAAACACATGCCTAAGGCATTGGGCAAGCAACCTGTGGAGTTTTCAATAGCATGTGTCAGTGTGGAGGGAGAAAGGCAGGGAGAGAGAAAAGGCAGGCAGGAAAAAAGGCTGCAGAGCTACGCTGTCAGGAGGAGGCACAGTAGTTCCTTGGCTTCATATAAAACAGCCCACCTCTCTGGCTTGCATTGTGCCAGGCTTTTGCAGCTGCCATATTTCTGCTCTTTGGGCCTCCAGTACCATGGCCTCTCTGCCATCTTCTTGCTGGACATCTGCAGAGAGGTGGGGTGCATCGGGATTGCTTCTTGCCTGGGGCTCCTCCTCTGCTCTTCTTGCAGGGCTTCCCGTCCCGTCTCTGGAAAGCAAAGTCATGCAGCAAAGCGACTTCTTGGAATACAAGGACACTGAAAGACAACCCAGAGGGGAGCCCTACACTGCTTGTCTTCTTGATGCTGAGATTTCTGTGACCCTGAGTCCCAGGCTTGGACAAGCCTCTGTTCCTGCTCATACCTGTGGATGTATCCATGGGCACTGGGGTCTCCTCCAGACCAGCCACTTCCTCAGCAATGATGTCATCCATGTTCTCAACCAAAAAGGCCACCAGCAGCTTCACTTGCATACAGGTAGGCCTTGGTCTGATCCCAGGTGCTGACAGTGTGCCAAGCACCCCTTGCCATCCCTGCAAGGGCCTGAGCCTTTTCCCTGAACCTTTTCTGCTGCACAGAGGGCTGTGGCTGTGGGGGAGCTCCTGAATGGCCTTGGCTGGAGAGAGGGGACAGCCAGGCACAGGAACCTCTGGGCAGCCAAGCAGGGGCCAGGGAGGCTGCAGCTGGCTCCTTGTTGTTGGCTTCTCCTTGAACCTTCTTGTTCTCAGCCAGCATAGCTTGGAGCTCCAGCTGCTCTTCCTGGGGTGTGGTCAGCATGTTTGGCCCCAGACAGATGGCCAGGTTGCTGCAGGTTGTTCTGCTGGTGGCCACGTGCTGGCCAATGTGTCTCAGCAGTGAGAGCTGCCTGAGGAGGAGCAGGTTCACTGCTGGCAGTTTCTTGGCCACCTTGAGGGAACAGGAAGGCAGTGTCCATCAGCAGGCCCATGCTGACCACAGCTAAACTAGAGCTGGCCCCAGGCAGGGGACAGCCAGCAGCTGCTGCGCAGCTCTGCAGGTGCTCTCAGCCAGCAGTCAGGACTCCTGTGCTCCTGTGGGAAGGATGCATTGCTTCTCTGTTTTCCTCCAAGCTCTCACAAGGGAAGGCTTCCCGTGCATTGCTGCAAAATTTCACTGCCAGCCAGCAAGAGTGAGCTGTGTGAAAATTGCCTCTTCAGGACAGCATCCTTTTCCAGGTGAGTGCCAGGTTTCCAGCAGCGCCTGCTGCAGAGCTGGAAGCTGCTGCCCACACTTCCCCTTCCAGATGAGAGATCTTGTCCTCCTTGCTGGCCATCTGCATTGCAGCCATCCAGTCCTCACAGAGGTTGATGACAAGGGGCTCGGAGGGGATGCTTTGCAGGAAGTCCTGCAAGGCCAAGGGCTGCTGGTGAGCCTTGGTCTTTTCAATGTAAATTATTTTATTATTCTATCTTATCATCCTGCAATGAGAAATATTAAGTGTCTGAAAAACTACCAGTTCATGGCATTGGTACTTCTTGCCCTGGTGCCTTGTTCAAAGCCTGCATGCACAAGTCCAGTGTGTTTTGTGAATACAGCCACAATTCTGCACATTATTTTAACACCTGTTTCACAGCAAACATTTCTGTGTGATAGAAGACATTTCTGTTTGAAAACAGAATGTTCTGTGCAAACGTCCTGTGATCCTGTGCTGTGAATCTACACTCCATTGACTTTTCCCCTGTGGGCTGCAGCTTCTGCAGCTCTCTCCCTACTGAATATGTTGGCAGATGGGCATTTGATTTAACTGGCTTCCTTGTGTTTGCAGCAAGAGGAATACCCGCAGCTGGAAGCCCAGGTCCAGTATCTATTACTTGGACAGTCATGTAAGAGAAGGAGCATGCCAGGAGAGCCTGTGTGAGGTGTGAAGTTGTGTATGATACAGGATTAGAAACCGTTCACTAATTAGTGGAGTAAAGTAACATTTCACTAGCACAGCTAGGACAGCCACAGAGAAGGGAACTTTTATGCATCATAATTTTATGAATCTGGATTTTTATTCTGTAATAGTCAGTCTCACTTATATGTGTTAAGACAGAAGGACAGTCAGTACTGGCCAATGAAACTGGTGCTAGAGAAAAATGTCCCTTTTAACTTTTTATTTCAGATGAACTGATTGTCAGCAGTTTTCCCAGGGAGCATCCCATAAACTTTCTGCAGAGCATGATACTGGTTTACAGTCTTCTTCCAGGGAATAAGGAAAATTATCTGGCAATCCTTGACAAATCAGGATCAGGCCTTTCTGTTTGGTGGAACTTACAGATACGTCCTCTCCAACATTTTCGATTTGCTGTCTCTTCCTTATATTGCTAAAAAAACCCTAAGTTGTGGTTTAGATTAGGTCTTCCATGAACTTCTGACAAAATAATATTCACTGAGGATACGAGAACCCAGAAAACAGATGACATATCTCCTGCTGGTCTGGTGGGGCAAGAGCCTTCTGGTGTCTCAATCTATTTGTGTTAACTACTTCCAACATCCTGACTTCCAACTGCTGATTGCCAACAAAGGCAATCCCATTAAGGAACTGATACCAAATAGCTTGAAGGGGAGCTGCCAATATTTTGTCAGCATTACCAGAGATTTTGCCATCCTTTACAGTCTTCAAAGGGCAGATGAAAATTTTTCTTCTTCTGTTGTGGTTATTGCAATGCCAATGACCATGACAGTAGCAAGATCAGCTACCTGGAAGGAGGCTGTAGCCAAGTAGGGCTCAACCTCTTCTCCCAGGCAGTGACAGGTCAAGAGCACATGGCCTCAAGCTGCACCTGCAGAGGTTCAGGTTGGATGTCAGGAAGAATTTCTTCCTTGAAAGGGTTGTCAAACATTGGAATGGGCTGCCCAGGGGAGTAGTGGAGTCATCTGTGGAAATGTTCAAGTTGTTATAAACAATGTTCTAGTTGCTTTAAACAACTGGAAGTGGAAATTAATGCTGTGGTTTAGTTGCCAAGGTGGTGATCAGTCAAAGGTTGGACTCAATGATTCTGGAGGTCTTTTCCAGACTTAAAGATTCTCTGGTTTTCTAATTCTCTGATTCCAGAAAAAGATTTCCCTCTGTCTGGACTATCAACACCTAATCCACAGAATCATTGGAAGTTATTTTCAGCTTGGATAATATCCCTATGCATGTGGGGTGTGTGCTCTCACTCACACTGAGCATGGAATTTGTTTCCATTCCTTGTGCATTCCTACAGAGGCATGAAATCCAGAGTGCATTTGAGCCCTTTTTGATTCCAACAATCCATTTTATATTCTGAAATTGCTAATTCATTTCCTCAATACACCTTCCCTGTCACATCCTATTTGCTTTACTGCTACCGGTGCTGTTCTCTCAAGTGATGAATCTTTCTCTGCTGCCCAGGAAGTTATAATCAATTCTAGAACCCCAAACAGGGAATTAAATTGCCGTGACTTCAGTAAGCCCTCTTAGCTGCCTATGGCATTAGTTCTCTTCACCAGATCAAAGCTGTGGTGCTTCAGAATGCTCTCATGGAGGACAGAGGTGAAGTGGTAGAAGTATTGCTTTTGTGAGGTGCTGTGGTTTTGTCCTTCCATGTTTATGTTTGTTTGTGTGCATGAGCAATGGTAGCAGAACAACTCTGGGAACTTGTTTCCATGTGGACATTCTGGTGCTGCACTGGACTATCAACTATCTGCTCATTTGGTCCTGTCTGATTTGAGACTTGCACATAAAATACCACTTTTTAATTTTATGCTAAGTTAGTGTAAGTATTTTCCTTTTGTTTCTTAAATTACATTTTTAGTAGAATAAAAGTATTATTGACCAAACAATATGTTCTGAGGAACACAGAAATAATTTGCAAATGGAATCCTAGATCAGTTAAAGAAAACCTGTTAGACAAGTAGCTACCTGAATAGACAAAATTAAGTCAGAAATTATTTTGAGTTGCATGTTGAGTTGGGCCTTAGTGACAGGTTCTCCACACACAGAGTTCAGTTGAGTTCTGGTTGCTTTCATTTTGCCAAATTTTGGGGAGGGTATGGACAAACACCTATGAATTGGGAAAACAAAGTGGATTTAAGTATTTCAGTAATGCAGACCTCTACCATCTGTAAAATTTTCCTGTAGTGCCTCTACATATTAGCACAAATATTTGTGTCCACAAGTCTAATCACTGTTTTACTGCTTTCCTGAAATACTGCCTTTTTCCTAAAGTGTTGCTCATTTCCCAAAATACTTCTCTTGCTTCAGAATAATACACATCTGAGATGTTGCTCTTCATACTTCATCCTTTTAGAACTAGACATTGGATCTCTGTCTTCATTGTATATGCAGCTAATATAAGTATTACTTCTACTTCATTTTCTACTGGACAGGGGCTAATATAGGATTATATTAAATTTGTATATAACATTTTTGAAGCATTGGGAACCACAGCTTTTATGTGTATCTCTCTGTTTATTTATCTACACAATTATCCATGCTTTTGAGAACACATTTTGTACTAATCTTTCCCTTTTATACTGTTTTTCAGATACAAGCCAAGCAGGCATTTGCTTAAAAATAGGCGTCTAGCACTGATTTTCCTGCCAACAATTCCTGCAGACCAAAAAAGGGAGACGATTGAGGCAGAGCAAGAGACTCACTTTGTTGTGGTGTCTGGTTTATCAGAAAAGATGAGTTTTATACTTGTTACTGTTTTTCTAATTATCTACTTCCAAAGAAAATAGGAAAAAAGCAAGTGGAAGAAATACATCCAAAGCACCATTTGTAAAATGTGCAAATGAGTGTAGAAGGGCTTGTCAGAGGCCCTTGTGAATGGAGCCAGGCTGTGGCACTGCCTCTCCTGAGATCCAGCTGCTCATTTCTTCCTCATGGTCATTATTTCCCAGTGTTTGACCTGGTGTCTCCTCTCAAAAGGACTCTATTGCTCCCAGTCTGTACAGCTTTTGCCTGCTTTTCCTAGGAATCCTAATGTACTGCACAATCTTTCAGGCTGTTTCCACAATGGATCCTAAGGAGATCAGTAAAGAACAGCCCTTTGGCAGCTGCTTTGGCCACTGAAGGCATTTTCTACTGAGTTGCTGATGACTCCTCATTTCAGTTTATGATGGCTCATGACTCTCCAGCCTGGACCCTCAACCCTCAGAACCTGCAAAGCTTTTGATTGAGCAAAGGGCTGTAATCACTTTGTTGAGGATTTTATTTAGGAATCTCTCAGGAAGTAAAGAAGGAACAAGACAGAGCTGGAAAAAGGCACATGGATTAGAGACATAAAAAATAAGTAAAGGGGATGTGCATCAGTGGGTGCCCTGTGGTGATTTGCAGAGCATTTTGTGGTAGAAAAATAAAATATAAAAGTACTAATGCCCTCAACAGGCTAAACAGCAACAGGTGTGCCTGAGCTGAAACCACAGAAGCAAAGAGGGCACTGGAAGAAATTTCAAACATGATTTCCATCTGTGTCTTTGCAGATCATTGTAAAAAACCACTTCAAGTATTTGCTGTATTTATTATCTGTATTCATTACACATTAAAACAGGCAAAGCCCAGCTCTGAAGCTGTACTCTCAAAATACATTGAGTACTCTCCAAACCTGAAATGTGAATATGTGATGGAGAGGCTACAAAAAGAAGGTTGGAAATACAGATTGGTTTGTAATTGATTATTTCTTGAAGAGCTGAATTTACATTTCAGAAGGCTGATAAAAGTTCATCTGTCACTTGAATGTGAGGCAATAAAGGTGAAGTGAAAGCTGCAGAACTGATCTTTGAAAACACGTGTGAAATTTAGCAAAAAGGAGACAGTTGTCAGGAGCATTGTCTTGTGACACTGTAATTATGACTGAGAAATCTGAAAATGAAGAAAAAATAGAACAAATGAATAGGCAGAATTCATAATCAACTCAATCAAGCACATAAAGAAAGAATAAAGAAACACATTCACCATGACAAGAACCCTGCATTAAGGATGAATTTGTGTAGTATTTATGAGAACTGGGAATTAATGGAGGGGACAGATTTAATCAGAAAGAGCTGATGGAGTCTTTAAAAAAAAAATCATTCTTTCAGAAGGCTGAGTTTTATGACGAACTTCTCCCCTCTTTGATTGCTGCAGTTAATTAGATATCGCACGGTGGGGATGTGATGGACACTGGCTGGGTAGAAGGCATTGAGAAAAAATTAAAATGCATCAGAATAAGCAAGATTTTTCTTAAAACTAAGTGGGTTGTGGGTTTTTTGTTTGGGGCTTTTTTTTTACCTTTTTTTTACTATTTTTTAACGAAGTGACAGCAGCTTTTTAGCATTTTACAGTAACAGAGTTATCTTCTAATCCATCAATATTTAGCTCACATTTACTCACTCCAAAGAATCTTGGGGGGTTATAGTTACTATAGTTACTTGGCTTCCTGTTCTCAGCTTCTGAATATCTTTAATAATTATTACAATGCTATGAAGATGTTTTGCTTGCCTTTTTTTATTAATCTGCATGCAACCTTTTTTTGTCTCTGAAGTCAACATCACAGCAGTTCAAGGGAAAGCAGGAAGAATGGTGGACCTTCAGCATAGTGAATGTGAACACAGATTTCCAACATGTGATCACTTTACAAAGTGAATTTGATGTTAATTGATTTGGTTAGGGGAGTAGAAAAATACAACAGGAAAAGCAGTCTTTATGAACCAAAATAAAAATGTGTGAAAAGTAGTGAGAGTGGTCAGTGTTAATGAAGTTCAGGGACTAGAAAAGCTATGACACAGTGCTGCTGACCCCTCTGAAATGGTTGAGTGTAGAGCTGCAATGAGATTCCACTGGAAATATTGTGTGAAAACTCATCTGGAAAGTCTTTCAAGTAAAGGCAAAGAAAACAGAAAGGAAGAAAAACCCCCAACCCAATATACTGAGGTTACAAATCCTTTTACTGGGGTCTCTAATGATAAGAAAAGGGCAAAATTTTTAAAACGAGAGCAGGTAGATTTATATTGGACCTAGGGAAGTAAATTTTTATGATGAGAATCGGGAGGCCTGGCACTGGTTGTCCAGAGTAGCTGTAGCTGTCCCTAGATCCCTGGAAGTGTCCAAGGCCAGGCTAGATTTGGCTTGGAGCACCTTGGGATACTGGGATGTGTCCTGCCCATGGCAGGGGTTGGGACTGGTCTTTGAGGTCCTTTTCAACCTAAACCATTCTGTGATTCTGTGTTGCTAAACAGGCAGTGTATTTGGAAAGCTGTATCCTGACAAAGAAGATCAATAAAATTGCCAGAGAGGGATAAAAGTGTTTGTTATGGCTCTACTTTCTTTGGAATGCAATACACTGGCCAAAACCCAGTGATTAGTATTTGCCACTCTGAATGTCTCCTCTCAATGGATCAGATGCCGTACTACTGAATCTGTTGCTCTCAGGATGAGTTATCTGGAATTGGTATTCTAACTCATATTTCTCTTACATGCCAGATAGCTTACATTCTAAATTGAGTTGTTCATAAATAAACACTGTGAAGCACTTAAAAGAAAATTAGTTTCTTTGTGCTAAAAATCCAATATTACATGCTAATTGTGCCAGTGTGCAGCTAATTAACCTTTATTCTGCTGCTCCGTAAGAGATGATGTGTGTATCTATGGATTGGCAGAGCAACTGAAACCTGCAGCTCTCCATCAGAAAGGAGAGTTTTTAAGTTATGCACATTGCACACTTGTTCTTCCTTTTACTGACAGGTGACAAAGGCTGGGAAGAGAAAGAGGGACACTGCAAATGAAAATGAACAAGATAGTTTTGTGGATATGATTTTAGAAGAACTGACTTTCAGAAGAAATGGTTCATTATTGTTCTCTTACTGACTGTACTGCAGAGTCTGAAACCACAGAGACAAGTCTCTGAAGCTAAAAATGTCTTCAACGTCTACTAGGGTTGTAAAAGTGCAGAAAAACATTGTGTCTTGGATATTCCCTTTTCTTTCACACTCCATAAATACAGCAAGTAAGAGGATTATGAAAATAGGGCATCTGAACTTGTACTGTAGCCAAATCATAGTTTAATTCTGAGCTTGTTTTCAGAAGCTTTTTATTAACATCATGAATTTGGTTTACATGGCAAGTTTTTTTTTGGGGTGGATCACAGGTTTAGGAAAAGACAAAAATTGCTGAGCAGCAACTGAGAGAGACAATATATGAGAGGAGCAAGCACCAAAGTCAAAGAAGAGCCAAGTCTCTGTTCCAGTGGCCCAATGATTACTCTGTGAGGCACAGTCTGTGAGGAAGAGCATGGGAAGGCAGGCAGTCCCCAGCTGCTCCAGAGGTCCATGATGAACCTGACATCCACCTGCAGCCCCTGTTTGTTCAGTGCAGGAAATTCAATATACTTTCCATAGAAATGCTTTCTTCTCGTCATAGTTCCTGTTGCTTCTGAGGATTTTTTATGGAGCAGAGATGTGAGAGACAGAGGTGGTTTACGCACGTGACCTTGTCAAGTGACATAGGAAGGAGCTGCAAAAGGACACGGACTGTCTCATGAGTAAGAAAGTATTTGCTCAATTTCACTACCCTTATAAGAAATGGTGATCTGCATTAAAATTAAAAATAAAATTAAAATTAAAATTAAAATTAAAATTAAAATTAATTAATATTAAAACAAGGTAAATAAAACTCTTGGGAAGTGCTATGAGACAAAAAGCTCAGCATTCCTGAGTGGTGGGAGAGAAATGCAGAGACACCTCAAAGCACACAGAGAGCTCACATTAAAGGCCCTTTAAGATAGAATTCCTCACAGACACTGGAATCTGCTGGCACTTTGCTGTTCTACATCCCTGTTGAATTCAGCACTGACAGGATAGAATAAAGTGACATCTGGTTTCTGATGGAGTCAGCAACTGTGTAACTTCCAGGCTGAGAAAATTACTGCAGCCTTAGGGCCTTCAGCTACAACTCCAGAGCCTGAATTCTCTCCCTTCAGAGTTTCCCTTTTCTCTGCCTGTGGGACATTTTCTATCTGGAGAGACATAAATTTCTGTTTCCTTTGCATTCTCTGGTGCAGACTGTTGGCATGTGAAAAGAGTCAATTATAACAAGAATTCTTCAAACCTTTGACCAGTGTCTCAAAAATGGTTATAGAAACAAACACAGGGGAAGAGGAGGGTAGGACTTGGTTATTTCTGGGCAAAGGGAAAGTTTGGGGGTATTTATACACAGATCACATCATGATCAGTTTTCCTAGTCTCATTTCATTGTAATGGTGAGACCCAGTTAGTCTGGAGTTTTAATGGGTCTGACATAAAAGCAAAACTCATCTCAGAAGAGAAACCTACATTGCTTGGTCCTGATTTCTACCTAGGAAGGCCAAGTTATGTAATTACTCATTTTTTTAGACCAAAGTAAATTTGAGGCTCAGTACCAGCAGAGTTTGGCATTGCATTTACACGTATCTCGAGATACCACAGTAAGAACAACTCCAGGGAGCACATCCAGAGAGCCCAAGACCAGGTGACATCCCAATTCCTCTATCAGATAAACTTCCTCTTGTCTGTAGCATTACAGTGGTGCTAAAACAGGCAGCCCCTGCATTAAATTCTATTTTGTAAAGAACAAAACATCAGTAAAGCTGGACA